AATAATAATAATGATAATATTAATAATAACAACAACAACAATAACAATAATAATAATAATAATAATAATAATAATGATAATAATAATAATAACAATTATAATAACATTAATAATAATATTAATAATAATATGAACAACAATTATAATAATGTTAATGATAATAATAATAATAATGCAACAATAATATCAATAACAACAAGAATTAGGATCATGATCATGAGAATGATAATAGTTATGATAATAACAGTAATAAGAATGATAATAAGAAAGACAATAATAAAATAATGATCATAATATCAACAAAAACAACGATAATAACAAAAATAAAAATAGTGATGAGGATGATAATAACAATGAAATTGTTAATAATGATAATAATAGCGATCAAATTAATAATAATGATAATACTAGTAGCACAGACAAACATATGCGTTTATAAACACATGCTTATGTGTGTTTTTACAAGCATATAAAATAGAGCCTTTTTATAAATTTCTCAGCTTCAGAGCTTAAAACCTTACAGCATCTTTCCTCAAAGGCCCTTTCTCCTCAAGCCCCTAAAATCCTCTCACAAAACAGGTGCTCGGAAATCTCCTCTTGCATAATCATCCTTAAGGTACAGTGAAGGTTCTTGGATGGAAATTTAGAGGAATCCACTTGTGCAGTGTTTCGATCACAATGGGTTCAAAAGTGTTCCGTAAGTATTGATAAAGTTGAAGCCACTTGTAGAGTAAAAGGGAAGTGTCGTCACCGTGTGTTGTAAACTTGCTTCTATAATGTATGAATAAGTTTGTTTTTTTCTTTTTTTGAGCCGTCCAGTAATTACCTTTGGCTTTGTACTTTCAGGGGAGATACTGGAAAAGTGGATGGTCTTTAGAATCGTTATTTGGGGTTTGTTGTGTGTGTATGCGTGTGTCTTAAGATTCTCTCTTCCTTTCCCCACTCATTCTCCCCCACCCCCTCTCTCACTCTTTCTCCGTCTCTCTTTCTCTCTCTCTCTCTCTCTCTTTCTCTCCCTCCTCGCTCTTTTTCTCCCTCCCCCCCTGGCTCTGTCTCTCTCTCTCTCTCTCTCTCTCTCTCTCTCTCTCTCTCTCTCTCTCTCTCTCTCTCTCTCTCTCTCTCTCTCTCTCTCTCTCTCTCTCTCTCCCTCCCTCCCTCACTCCCCCCTCCCCCCTCGCTCTC